ACGCGTCATGTTTTTCACCTATAGCATATTCATCTCTATTTTCTCATTATTAAGGTACAAATTTGTGTTATGCAAATATGGAGTCAAGCGACACGCGTCGACGCGCGTTACTTTAGCGCGGTGAGGCGTCAGACACCGACCACACTGTCAGAGAACAAATAAGACTAATGAGAACGGACACTCTCCGCCCCTCCCTAGCTTTAGATACCGCACCACGCCCCGCACATTGACGGTCACATTGACGGAACGAGAACAAGGCTGTCGGCGAGCCGTTTTCGCTCTAAGACGGCTTTGATATTTGAATATAGTTTTAATTTTTTCATTTTGATATTTGTACGTTAATATATAACATCATTTTACGTTACTATTTATAATGGTCGTTAATTGTGCTGTGTACGGCTGTTTATAAACTTCTAAACGGGATAAAAAGAGGGTTTCTTTCGTTGTTTGAAAGATGAAACGAAGTAAGTAAAAAACTTATGTCTGAGACTATTTCAGTTATTGTTTTCTTTAGTACAGTGTAATATGTAATACAGATTTAATATATCAATATAATAAGACGCCATAACTTCGTGAGCTAGAGAAGGGTTCTCGAATTTTCAATTTGTATTGCCGATAAAATATTACGTAGTGATTAAGTAGGTAATGATAAACTTGGACACGCAATTTCAAATACTTCGGTTACCTTCTTTAAAGGTACCTGTCCAAAATATAACATTTTAAGTGCTTTTAATATATTTTTAAAATAAATCTTCAATATTATTTCATTTAGTGAATTAATGAAAAATATAATATAATATCGTAAATACGTAATGAACATTAGGATTCTATAATAGAATTATAGATAAGAGATTGCCGCTCTGACACGTAATAAATAGTACGAGCAAGTGATGGGTAACCCTGCCACTTTACGCACACATTTGCGCTTGTGCAGATAGCGCCTTGCTGTATGTAGTAGGTAAATAATTTTCGACCGTTATATGGAGTGTCCGAGGTGTGACATTGTGATCCGGGCGCACTAATGCGAGTGTTGTCGCGAGTCACTAGGCGTTGTGACCTCCTTACACCGTCATCTCACCACTTTGTATCGTCTCTCTCCGCTAGTATCCTATCATTTTTTATTTTACTCGTATTTAAATTTTAAATTTGAATTGTTCCATCTTCCTTCACTTTCTCATTTTGTTTTCGTACCACGGTCACTCCCAGCTCGACCGCCACAACAGTCGGAGCTGTATCAAATTCCGTCGCGTATAATCGCTAATTTAGGTTCTTTACTACGTTTATAATCATTAAATAAGCTAAATCATGTGTAATAATTTATAAGACTACAGCCTTCATGTACCTATATCTGTAATTCAGTTACTCGGCCCATTTAGGGGTAAGTGCCTTAATCATAAAGTGTAGGGAGTGTTTTATACTGTTGTTACAGTCCTTTCTTATAACTTTACTTCTTTTAATAAATTTTGTGGACCGGAAGTCTCCCGTTTCATTGCCGTGAACCTGTTCACGGCTAGTTAGGGTTACAACCCTTTCAGCTGTAGTAGAAAAACAGGACGCGACGCGACGCTTCGACTCTGCGCAAGTGTGAGTTAAGCCTCCACACTGATTGTGTGAGTGACTCCACAATGATTTTTGCAACCCCGAAATCTTCAGCAGGGCCTAAATTATGGATAGTGTGGAAAAGACCAATGCTCGGCAGTGGGGCGTACATGGGCTGACGTAAAAACGAAATTAATATCAATATTTTATCAAGAAATGCAGTTTTAAAAGATTCTCCAACAACACATGTCTATCAAAATCTTCATTGTAAATTGAATCTTACTCCGTACTCATTGAGCTTCATTTGATATGAAATAGGATGATTTGTTTATTTAAGCCATCATATGAACAATGTGAAATAACAAACATATTCTTTGCCCGTGATCAATAGAACATACACTCTTAAATCTAAATGATAAGGTCTAAAATTGTAGAATAAATTTAATTACACGCGTTTCTGATAACTTAGTTAAGCAGTCAAAATATTGCGCAAAATATTGTTTACTTTCGTATTAGGCGTTGTTGTTATGTAACAAGTAATTTATAGCTGTTACCCGTTTTACTAGCTAATAAAATACATTTTTTTGTATAAAAATATTCGTACTTACTGCAAGAATATGCCGAAAGATCACAACACTCGAGTCGATACCCGAAAAAAAAAACAGGAGAACGTGAAGGGATTTAAAAAATAATTCCGAATGTAAACACAATACAATCCAGACGTTTTCTGACGTCACAATGTTTACGTAGAATGTAAGGCAAATAGTGACGTTTGAATTTAGTCGGATTATAATAGTTGACACGCACGATCCGTATGAATGACACAAATGTACTGATTATAGTAAAAACCAATATGGCCGCGAACAATTACATAATGGAGGAGTGATAATTTTTAAATTGATAACAATACCGTCATAATATATAGGTAACAATATTTGATAAAATATTGTTTGTGTTTTTTTACTTTTAATTACAGGGTGTGACGTCACTTAGGGAAATTTACTTAACCAACTACATAAACCGATATTTATAGTATATAATATTGTTTTAAAATGCCCACGATATAATAAAGTATTTTTTCAACTTTTTTTTTCAGTTTATATTTAATGTTATTTAAGTGATATTGTCCAGTGTATGTCCAAACTTGTTGGACTTTTTATGATGTAAAAAGACGCTTGACCTCATTTGGGGCATAGATTGTACTTAAATGGTAAATAATTAACAATATACAATCACAACAAATTATTATTTCTTTACTGAGACCCACGTTTTATCGTATACGGTCAAATTCTTGTTACATCCAGTAAAGTTTTTTTGGCGTCAGTAGATACAATTTTTAAGTAAAATAAAACTAATTATACTAATTAGAGACAGTAACACCGTATTGTTAACGTTTAACACATTATCTGTAAAAAACCTTGTCACAAATCGTCTGAATAAATTCTGAAATTGTCACTATAGCAATTCGTGGTTAATCATCCTTACCATTTATGGAAATAACTATTTTTTGCGATTGCACAATATTACAAAATGTTATGTCAACTTCTGCCATATCAAAAGATCCTATAACAATGATTAGAGTATTATACGTATAATGGGTACTTGCTATAATTTTTTAGTCAGGCGTTTCTTACAAATACGATTCGAAAATGCTAATGTATCCACGGCATTTATTGTGATTGGTTAGTCAAGTGTTCATGTTATCGCTTTTATCTTGCGTCTATAATAAACTATACAAGGAAGTAGTTTTTTTAAATGGGTAATAATTAGTAAATAATCAAAGCTATCTATGAAAGTATAATGGCGATGTTTTTCGTAGTATGAATACCAAATTTTTTTTACTTCAAAAAATATACTTATACGTTCCTGGGCACATAATTCGAGCCACCTCGCATTGTCAGCACTAAATGCCCTAAGCTTAAACAATGTTTCATTGATCAAAAACTGCAATTTTGAAAGTAGCATACTAAACGTCTTTGTATTGCAAAAACGAGCGATTCGTTCTGTGTACCGTCTAGGCTCTCGGGTATCTCTCAGAGAAAAGTTTAAGGAGACTGGTATCATGACTGTGGCATCACAGTACATTTACTCAAATATTTTATATGCCCGTAAAAATATACATAATTTCAATAAGAAAGAAGATATCCATAATATTAACCTTAGAGCTAAGTCCAAACTCATGGTACCACGATTTCGTTTAACCAAGGTAAACAACTCTTTTATGGGGAACTGTATACGTTTTTACAATAAGATTCCGGAGCATATATTAAGTTTATCATTTCCTAAGTTTAAAAACTACATTAAAAATATTTTGATCGAAAAATCATATTACAAAATTGAAGACTACGTGTTAGATAAAGATGTATGGAAAGACGACATGGCTCCAGAATCCACACAAATTTGATTCAAAGTGTATTCCATAGCATTTAAGTTTATTTGAAAAGAGCAATCCCTAGAGTTTCTTGCTCGTTCTTCTCAGGGAGGTCAGCGTAGTGAACGAGCAGTAGCTTAAATGTGACGTTTTCAAGTGTAAATTTATTTTACCTATGGAATAAATAATCTTTGACTTTGACTTTGACGTTGACTTCGACGATAACACTGCTCTAGTATTCTATCCCTTTAAGACAAAAATGCGTGGTGGCTCGAATCGTGTCCGGAAGTATATCATATGTTATAAGGAAGCGTGGGGAGATATAAACCTCGGTGTATACAGGGTTATTTACCGACTTCAAAAAAAGGAGGTGGTTCTCAAATTGTATGTTTTTTTGTATGAAATTCGACTCATCCGTAGAACAAAAACCTATGTGGAAGATGCTGCTTATTCTCAGGACATTGTACATTTCGTTTGTAAGAACAACAAACTTGACTGTGGATATCCACAGTCAAGATCGACTGTTGTTCGATTTTATATTTCCGAAACGAAATAATAAATACCTAAAAAAATCTGAAACACCTTTAGATAATAAACCTTTTGAATAACGAGATTATGTTTTTTTCTCTTTTCGCTGTATAATCACATATTTATTTTATTACTAAATATGATGAAATGAAATTTTATGTGTATATTTTACGAAAACACATGTTGATACCTCCAATGGACACTACGCCATATTCATTTTTTGGTCACATCCTGTCATTTTTGTAAACAGTCGTAATTGCTTACTAATATTATGCTCCCCGAAATGTTGTGAAAAAAAAAGGATACAAAAAAAAGGAAAAAAAACGAATTTTGTGAAAAAAAAGAAACAAAAAACAAAATAAAAACAGACAAGGTCCTAAACTTAAGTTGGCGTAGTGTACATTGGATTGGAGATATCGTAGTTTTCCATGCCTGTATTAACAAAAAATAGCATAATTCGTAATGTTAACGTCTCGGTTCGACCTACTGAGTAGTCCGTCCTTTTTTTACAATTGTCCGGGTGTCAAATTAAATGGTGGCAATTGACAGGTCATTTTATTTATTTATCAATGTACAGAAAAAATCCCACAATCATTTTAAAATGGGCGGCACTTATCATCCAAAGACTTGACCCTCGTAGAGCTCCACATCCCAACCGTATCGGTCTAATGGCCAGCGTCTGAAACACACACGTCTATGTTACCAAGTGTAATAAAACCACATGCGGAGATGGGCAGAGACTTATAACCCGATCAACCCGGATTTTCATCGGGTTTTTATTTTAAGGCTGCTAACAGATTGACTTCATGTTTACAGTAAATTCGTGAAGTCGTTATCTGAGACCTCGACTGCATGAAATTGATAACGACTTCTCGCATTAACTGTAAACGTGCAGTCAATCTGTTGGCAGGCTAAGGATGCACATTACAATTCTATTTTTATGAAAATTGATTGAAGTGCTTCCCATTGATTGATGACGATTTTTTGTAACGACTTATTTCAATGCGATTTTCAAGGAAACCGATTCAATGGAAAGACAAATAGAATCATCTAGATCAGAAAGCAATGAACATTTAGTAATTTTTCTAGGTGCTTGTTGCCGGATCTTTGTATTTGGTTTTCAATAACTTTTTAGCTCTAGCGCCATCTATGAGAAATCTATGAAAGTATTTCGTCATCGAAGGAATTTTTTCTGACTTTGTATTAACAATAATAACAAACTAGTGGAGTAATTTTACAAAAAATAATTGAATATCAATTCAATACAAATGTAGTAACATATTTTTTGTTTATCGTTTAAATATTCACTTACATTGTAGTAACTCTTACGTATACTTCGTTTCAATCTATTTTAAACAAAAAGTAAACAAACAAGTTTTTTAATTTATTAAGGCTTTGGCAAAGCCATCAGCCTAAACATGAAGTTTAATTATGTTGCTGTAAATATGGCCGCCACAAACAGGATAGGCAATTTGAGGCGGCGTGCTTGGATTGACTCGGGATTCCTTAAAACAGGCCGATACGGGTATTCTAGTTCGAGATTCGCATAATTTCGCGTTTTAATCTTCGATTAAGGCGCAATAGCACTATCCTATTCCACTTTAAACTAGATTTCACAAAATAATTGACAGTCAAAATAAAAACGACACTTTTCCCTCCAAGAGGTCCAGAGCGAATGTAAACAAACAAGTCACTAACCCGACCATAGACAATTTAGTGGCGGTCATATTTACAGAAATATAATTAAACGAAGACATGGCTCAAAGGACTTGTATCCAAGCCAAAATTATTAATAAAAAAAACATAGTTGTATATCGAGTTCTTAGGTTTTCGCGATTGTTACACATAGGAAATGAAACTATTTTTCCGGATTTACATTTACATTACATTCGGGATTTCCGGGTTGACTGTCAACCGTGACCATGGGACCTGTAAAGGGCCCGAAACGTCGGTTTGTTTGAAAAAACAAATATACGCGATTTAAATCCGGAAAAATAGTTTCATTTCCTAAACATAGTTGTAGTTGAAAAATGACCTCACTTTTGGATTGTCATTTTTCAAATACGATTTTACGATGCTACTCATATGAATATTAAAATCTACATATGAATATTGTTGGAAAAATGATGAGATAACAAGTCGAAATCTTTGAAATATACCTTCGTGAAAGTATTACTCATTTGATTTACTGAGTGACTGCTTTAGAATTTTAACCAAACAGTTTTGTTTACTTTTTGTTTAAAATGGATTGGAACGGACTATAAAATTTGTATTGAATTGATCAATATTTTTTTGTGAAATTACTCCACTAGTTTGTTATAAATAATTATATTATTAATAATAATACAAAGATCTAACACTTAGAAAAAAATCTTTCGATGATGAAATACATTCATGGATTTCTCATAGATGGCGCTGCGGCTAAAAAATCGTTGAAAAACCAAATACAAAGATCCGACAACAAGCACATAGAAAAATTTGTGAGGTCCGCTGGTTCGTTCCGTGGCTTAGGAAATACTGGATCCCAAACTGGTGGCACGTGGAATAATTTAGTTTCCTACGTGTAACAGTCTTGACAACAATTATTACTATTATCATTTAAAAGACCAAGGGGTCGATTCAGAACCTTACGATGAATCAGTTGTCGACCGATTGATTAGATATCGTACGATTTCTTTTCATTTTTATTCACAACAACCGAATCGAACGTGAAACTGTCGTATTCAAAACCTAACCGAAATTATGTCACACCCGTTCGATTACTCGAATTTTTCGACGTTACAAACGTTATTTAGAACACAGTTTTCGAATGAAAGTTACCGAATGTCCCATTGTTTACAAAGCAAGAATGTAATATGGAAACCTCTTAAAGTCTGGATTTTGTTCAATTTTATTAATTTATTTTAATGCAAAACTTATGAATTGCTACATTTTAAGCCTTCAAAGTCTTAATAAAAGGATTTTAATTGTTCTTATAATCTATTTCACCAAACTAACTCCGTAAACCGCTGTTGGATAACGATATCGTGAGGTCTACTCGCGATCTCCGTCAGACATCCGTCCGAAACAATTACTGTCAAATAAGTGATATTCGACAAAATTAAAAGACAAGTATCCAGTATGAAGCTTCATTCGCAACACGCGTCCTTTCATTTGGTCAAGTATTGCTTATTTGGCAGTAATTGTTTCGGACGGATCCGAATCGAACATTTAACTTGAATGTTCTGAATAGTTCGTAAAGTGCCCTTAAATTCGAGAACAATATCCAATCGGACGATTCTGTTAACATGTCGAAGAGTTCTGAATCGGGGTCCATGTTCGTCAGTGTCTCTTACCCTCGCTTCGGTGTGGTTCTAGGTGGTATGGTCCAGTTATAAAGCCAACTCTCGTTCCATGTTCCATTGTTCCTACTAAAATAATTTATATAAAAAGTGTATTAGTTGATATACATGCATAGATATATACTAGGCATAAATGGTGTAGCGAATCGCTAGAAATGTTTTCCTATGTATATTATAATAGTCTCTTTGTTGTTGTAGTTGTGTTTGTTTTTGGCGCCTTTTTTCTTGACTTTAGCTAGTTTTGTTGGCTGTTTTGCTGTGATAGCTACGTGGTGTTTTTCTAATAACTTATTAAAAGCTGTAAGTTCATTCTCTTGGCCTTGCTCACTCGTTGTTAGCACTCATCCCTTCACCCAAATGGTACTGCATTGCTCCATAGCTCGTTGAGTGACTTTGAACTTTTTATGAGGCCCATAGTAAGTGACCACGACTCAGAGTCAAAGGTCATCGCTGGCAACACGCACTGCTCGAAGACTTTTGCCTTCAGGTACTGCGGTATTGCGGACGAGATGATGTCCCTAAGCTTCCCGAAAGCTGCCCAATCGAGTCGGATCCGACGATTGACCTCTTTCTCGAATCTGGTCCTGCCTAATTGGATGGTTTGTTCGAGGCAGACATACTCGTCAACAAGTTCGAGAGTAGACGTACCCACTGTTGTAGGGGTGGGTACGACATGGACATTCGACATAAATTTCGTCTTGTCCATGTTCATTTTTAGACCCACCTGCCGGGAAACACTATTGAGGTCACCGAGAGTGTCAAGCTATTCCAGCGATTCTGCCATGACCACGACATAGTCAGCAAATCGAAGGTGAGTGATGTACTCGCCATTGATGTTGATGCCGAATCCTTTCCAGTCCAGTACCATGACGGCATCTTCCAATGCAGTGGTGAACAGTTTCGGAGAAATGACGTCCCCCTATCGCACCCCTCTTTGCAATTGGATAGGCCTTGTGCACTGGTCCTGGAGTCGAACTGACATAGAGGCGTTTCACTTCAATACTTTGATCAACCGATAGTCAATGTGGTACCGTTGTAGAGACTGTAGCACCGCCCAAATTTCGATCGAATCAAAGGCTTTCTCATAGTCCACAAATGCTAAGCATAATGGCAGGTTATACTCCTTAGTCTTCTGTATAACCTGCCGCAGCGTGTGGAATTTGGTCTATGGTAATGAAGCCCTTTTGGAAACCGGCTTGTTCGGGGGGCTGAAAGACATCGAATCTGCGCGTGGGACGGTTCGTAATGACTCATGAAAACAGCTTATAAAATAGGCTTAGAAGCGAGATGGGCCTATAATTCTTCAACAGGGTGTTATCTCCCTTTTTCAAGAAGAGTATCAACATGCTTCCATTCCACGCTTCTGGTGTAGTACCTTCGAGCAAGACTGAATTAAAGAGCCTCTGAAGGACGGTGTTCCATCCGCTTTCAGAAGGTCAGATGTAATTCTGTCTTCACCCGGTGCTTTGTAGTTTATTAGCTGTTTCAGAGTCATCCTAATCTCGTACAGACTGATGTCCGGGATGTCCTCAGTATAGCTTATTAGCTTGAGAGTATGATCTCCTGTATGTATGATGTCCTGAAGAATTTGGACCCAACCGTGTGGACCGTCTCCACCAACCTGTTGTTTATCTCGTCCACAGAGACGCAGTCCTGTAGGCAGTCGAAACGATTTTGAAGTTCGACCGAAACTTTTCGGGGTAATTTATATGGGCACCGCTGGGTCGCAGAGAAAACTTCATTAGTCGTGACCTCTCACGTTTGACATCGATATTCAACAAGCCTCTTACCATCCTGTGATCGTTTCCAGTTTTCACCCAATTGATCACCGAAACATTGTTGAATATCTGTCTCTTGTCGGTCAATGTGAAGTCTATCTCATTCCTTGTGACACTATGGGGATTTAACTCGGTCCATTTCCTTCGAGGCGGTTTTTGGAAGAGGGAGTTCATCATAAAGAGTCTCTCCATTTCCATGAAGTCGGTCAGCCTTTGGCCCCTGGAATTTCGCTGCCCATAACCAAATTTCCCCACTCTCGGCTCATCTACCATTCGACTGCCCAGTATGGCGTTGAAGTCCCCCATGGCTACATTGAAGTGAGTTTGGGAGGTATGTATCCCTGAAGTAGAACAAGTTGCCGGATTTCAGGGCTATCTTGTCCATCCCGCAAAGAAAAGGAAAGGATTTTAATTTTTCCTATTATCTATTTCACCTACTAACTCCGTAAAAGCTGTTGGATAACGATATCGTATACATATCTGAATCTAACGTTTAACTCGAATGTTCTAAATAGCTCGGAAAGCGCCTTTCGATTCGAGAACGATATACAATCGAACGATTCTGTTAAAATGTCGAAGAGTTCTGAATCGGGGTCCATATTCGTCAGTGTCACTTACCCTCGCTTCGGTGTGGTTCTAGATGGTATAACAGTCCAGTTAACAAGCCAATTCCATGTTACACTGATCTTATTACTACGATCCTCGTCTCTATTCCTCTCCCGCTCTTCTTCACGTTTCTTCTTTTCATCTTTCTACTCGTATAAAAAGAACACATCATAATCAATTATTTCATACTATAGTCTGTCTTTTTTACAAAGAGGAGTCATATTTCAAAGTTTTTAATTTTAATTCAATATAGATATACAAATCCTAACCGGATTATTCAGTCATTTTTGGCAAAATTATATCTTCTTTCACAATCTATCGATAAAATTATTGACAACAATTACTATTTGAAATTTTATAAAAACTGGCAACCCTATAAATATCATTTACTACGCCGCCGCCTGGAAGCTATTATATCCACATTTAGCTGTCAAATTCGATAAACCAGTAAAACTTTATAAAATTTTATCACAATAGGTAATATGGCGAGCACCGTGACATCATATTTTTGTGTCAATGACTGCAAAAGACTAACACAGTGCCGAACATGCCCTCAAGATCACAGTTAATTGACTGATTGGTTTTAAAACATTTTGACAGTTCAGCACAGTAATTTTATCAACTTAAAAATTGAGTGTGACAAACGAGATGAAAAAAGTAATAAAAACAAACTTATATATAAATGAAAGGAAAAAGGTGAATAGAACATTTTTAATACATGAGAGTAATTAGAAATACTTAAATAATAATATAATATAACGTAAAAACTGAAACTACAAAAGCTCGACACGTTCCATTAAACCACAGAACAATAAATACAGTAGAAGTGAACAGTAGGTCTCGATAGTCCTATTAGAGCTCAGTCCGCCATTTTACTTTGTATGGTATGGTTGATAATGGTTGTGTCATTCTTTCGCGCAAATACTCTAAAAGCGCAGAAAAAGCCATAATGTGCTGTTTTGGAGTGAAAAAATGATGGCCGTACCAAAAACATTACCCGTAATCTTTATCAATCATTATCAATACTTCGTAGTGTTTATCATTTCTTTGTGTGCGTTAGTAATCGAATCTTAAGGCAGTTCCGTTTTTTTTTTCATTTTTGTTTTATTTTTAATAAAGAAAACATATCTCCTAATTGCGAGTTATGTGGAGAAGTGGAAATTGCATATCACTTGTCACTGGAAAGTGTCCGGTACGATCAACAGAGGGCGGCGTTGGTGAGATTCCTGCAGTTCAACACCGTACGTGCTATAAATTGTATACTAAGCAATTCTCACACCAAACAGACAAAAATACTGTTCCACTTAGGCCATATTGAAAATTCCTGGATTCTGGTGTGTAAGACTAGATATGAACATGAACTCGGAACGAGAAATCCGCGGGTAATAGGTCCCGGATTCTACGAACATCTACCCACAGACCTGAAAAGTGTTACAAACGATGAAACGTTTAATACCCGACTAAGGGTGAGGCCAGACGAGCGTAATTTTGTGAGTTGTGTGTTGCGTTTTTTGAGTTGCGCAGTTTGCACTCGACCGAAATTCGATTGGGACGCCAGACGAACGTATTTTATTCAGTTGCTTTTAACCGTAAATACGGGTTATCCATCCATTAAAAATACTATGCATTTATGAAGCAGCACAGAAGCTGGTTACATCCACTCAATATGAAACGATTAAACTATGGCCAGTTTCATATATTATACACAAGTTTATATGAACATCCCTGATCAATTTGTTAAGTACTACCACATGCCAATAAATGTTTTTTTAAGAATGATTAAGCCTAGCAGGTAAAACCTTTTATTACTAAATCAGATACAAATATGAGACAAGCGAACAGTTCAGAGGGAAGATTAATAATAACAATCAAGTAAGTTGTTCATTTATTTATATTTTAATCTCCGTATGTGACAAAGTGACCCCTTCCCTCATCCCTACTTAGTCTACTTATTAGGCCGTCACACGATGCGACCGAAAGTCAGTCGTCATGTCGCGACTCACAAAATTACGCTCGTCTGGCCTCACGCAAAACTCATTAATGAATTCTATGGTGTCGATGAGTTTCTTTTTTTTTACTTCGTTATATTTAGACAAGCAGTAGTTATACAACTTTATTTTAAATTCATTATTATTTTTTAGATTAGTGACAATCATATTATCTCTTGAAATTGTATTTTTAATTGTAATATTGTGACAGTGATAATATGAAATAAATGATTCTATTCTATCGTGTTTATAACAGATTATTGTTTTTGAAAGTATATAGTAAAAATACATATCAAAGTATATAGCCCTCGCTATTCACACACTTCTATATTCGTTGGAATTATTGTGAAACATCTGAGGAACCAGTCTTAATCA